GAGCCTAGGAGTTTGGTAGCCTATGAAATTTTTCTTGGGATTCTTATCAGTGTTACTTGGGGAAGAGGACTTTAGACAGAGTAACCTTTGCTAGGAAGGGGCTGTGAGCTGAAGAGAAGCTAGCAGCTTGTGGTGCTCTTGAGAGCGAAATAATGTCAAATTTTAACTTTCTAACTGGAAACTGTTTCATGGCTTGTCTAGGTCTTTCATTTTTATTTCTGTTTTTATTTTTCCCACGACATACACACCCCAGCAACCTCAAATGATCTGAAAGCAGTGGGCTGAGGGGCAAGCGCTCTTCCTTGTTTCCCAAGGGCAGCAGCTGCCTCTGCAGAAATCTCAGCTCCTTGACAGAGAGGAGCCCTCTGAGACCCGTCCTGCGTGGGGTACCCACGGACCTCCTGGTGTTCACCTGCCAATCCTCCCCCTTTGGAAATGCAAACTCCAGCTCCCCGAGCTGCCACAGGCAAAGGGCAAGATGCTGATCCTTCACCAGGTCAGCGGGCAACTGCTCCAAACTGCTCTGCCCTAACTGAATAAGAAAAAATGACATGAGTCCTACCTCCAAAGAGTGGAATCTGTTGCCTGTTCTGCTACAGTCGCTTTGCTCCCTTGCTGGTCCCAGTCTCTGTCCCCACCTCCTGCCGTGGGGCTGGGAGCCCCATGTCCCGTGGTGCCCATGAACAAGCCCAGGTCACCTGCGTGGCTGCACTGGGAAGCTGGTACCTCTGCATCTCTTTTTAGTGCCAAATGACCCTCCGTGCCTGAAACCGTGGTGGGATCTGTGGGATTCGGAGATACCTGTGGATGTGTGGTGGTGTATGTGGTATTTTGGAGCATCTGCAGGACTAGGGAGGGGGTTGAAGACCTTGCTCATAAATATCTGGTCTCTTTCTGGGAGGAGAAGATCTCTTCTGAGTGACTGGAGATGGGTGAGACAGCAATAGCTGCCATCTCAGTGGGCTTAGTCCTTGGCTGAAGCACGCCAGCTCTTGTGCAGGACCTCTGGGGTCGGTCACTGGTTCTGTCCAGGTCGCTCAGAGCTGTCAGCGCAGAAGTGAAGCTCCCTGTTAGTATCCTGGCCGTCGGAGAAGATTCTCCCATTTTGGGGACCCCACCAAGGGGGCTCATCACTGTCCTACTGCAGTGGGAGGACAGCAAATCCCTTTTGCCAAAAGGGATGCAGGGATGTGAGAGTCAAGGGGCCTGAAGGCCAGCGGGGCTGCAGGAGTGGCCCCAGCTCTCATGGTTGGTGGGGGAGTCTTGTCCTGCCCTTCTGCATGGCACCTTTGGGTGCTGAGCCGAGAAGGTCTCTGGTCCTGCTCGTCTTGTGGGGCAGGACTCTAGAGGGTCACCCCAAGGGGGGGTCTAGAGGGACACCCCAAGCTGTCTTTGGTGGGTCGGTCCCATGGTGTGGGTGCTTGGGGCCGTGGGACTGTCACTTCTCCGAGCTGTGAAGAGTGCTACCAGGCGTGCAGCATGGACATCGGGGCGCGGGGGTCTGGAGGGAGCGTTGGCTGCAGAGGAGGTAGCATGTCCTTGAGGCTCTTCCCGCCTTCCTAAAATGGTTGTGGTGGGCATGCTACCTGCTCTTCTCGTGGGGCTGCTCCCTGTGGAGGGGAAGGATTGGGTGCAGACACGAGATGTGCACCTGAGAGCTGCCTCTGCGGGTCCGTGGCCAGGGTCTCTGGAGCTGGTGGGTGCTTTTCGGGTTGTCCAGCACCATCCCTGGTGAGAGTTCATCCTTAACCCAAGAGTTCTTGCAGTGCCAAGACTTGGGTAGCGGGTGTCCTCACAAAAAGCTCAATATTCAGTACCCCTGGCTTTTTGCAACTGTTGGTGGAGCCCTGACTATTGTTTTTTGTTTTTTCCCTTGTCGCTCACAGTACAGTGCCGTGGACAGCAACCCCCTGTCTCTGTACGTCATGCATCCCTTCTGGAACACGATAGTGAAGGTGAGACCTCATCCTTCCCTGAGTGGGACAGCAAAACTCCAGTCACCACAAAGTCTCCTCTGTAAAACTGTCGGCCGAAAAGCCCTGCTTCGTTTGTAGTGCAACTAATTAGAAAGGGCGCTGCCTTCCACCCTGCAGCCTGCCCCGAGCTCACTGCATCGCAGCCTAAAGCTTCCTGCTGCCCCATGGTATGCCAGATGTGACTAAGCAGTGCTGTCTAATGCCCAGACGATTGTAACCAGGTCTCTTCTGTGGCTGGGAGCAGCCCGTGGTCCTTATTACATGTTTTAATGAGTTCATGTGTTCTTTTACTGCTTTCCCGTAGATCTTCCCTACCTGGCTGGCCCCAAATTTGATAACGTTTTCTGGCTTCCTGCTGCTTGTCTTCAACTTCTTCCTCATGGCATACTTCGACCCTGACTTTTATGCTTCTGGTAAGGCTGCCTGTTCCTGTTTGGATGCAAAGCATCGGAGCAGTGAAATCTGTCACCTCCTTTGCCGTGACTTCTGATGCTCGTTGATAAGGCCTCTTAGTGTGGGCCTTCCCAGAGGCAGGTGGCTGTGCCAGAGGAGGAGCAGAGTTGAGGGGCTGAACTTGCTGGGTTTCATGATGAGGAATTGTCCAAATACAACACCTTCCCTCTGGCTACTGGGTGGATGTGAGCCTGGCTGGCAGCGTGCGGGTGAGGGAGGAGGAAACAACCGAAATCTTGAGTATGAATTGACTCTGCCTACAGAGCAGACAAGAACCCAGTGCCCTTATTTTAAAATCTAGCAGGGTAATGTGGGAAACTCTGCTTCCATGAAGTCAGCAGGTAGAGCCTCGTTCTTTGCATCCCACTTGCAAAAATATGCCGGCACCACATTTGGACTAACAAAGGCAAAATCCTCTTTCCCAGTTTCACCATTCTGCATAAGGCAAGGATATGCACAGCTTTGACGTTTTTAACAGTACCCACGTTCATCTGTTCGTGAATTCAAAGGTTCAATTGTGTCCCCTTCCTCATGGGGGTGTCCCAGGGTTAACACAGCATGATAACTCTCAGTCACTGATCTATAGCTTCCTCTGTATTTTTCTCTCCCTTTGCCCCTGCGAGATTTGGTTTAGGTTGCTCAGAAGAGTTCATCTGGTTCTTCTAAAACTGGGCCAATCATCAAAATGCAGTTAAGTGGGAAAAATACTGGTTTCTTGGGATTGCCTTTGTTGGTAGGTAGACAAGTACTGTTCTCGATATCCCAGGCTTTCACAAGCTTGGGTGGCATCAGTGGCTGTTATCCAAGATTTGGGCTGTGTTTTGGTCCGTGAGCCACAGGAAGAAAAGCTGACAGTAGGTCGGGGAAGGAAGCTCAATGTGAGCATCCCTAGGACATCAGATGTCCAGAAAGTTGGGCTCTGCCAAAAGGATGGTGAAGCTCATGCTTTGGGACGCTTTTACGTACGTGTTGTGCATGTCCTGCTTGGAAAGAGAACTTCTCATTTTACTGGCGAGGCCTCCAGAAGCTTGTGCCTTCCCTTCTCGTTGGATGGTTCTGTAGACGTGAAGCCCTCCACTTGGTGCTGGAAAGACACCATTGTGCTGCTGTAAGGAAACGGGAAATGGCATTTCATGGAATCATTGTTTCCCCTAGGACACCTCCATGTGCCCTCCTGCGAGGCTGCTGCCAAGAAGCCGTGCCTCTTCCTGCTTTTTTTCAAACGCACCTTTGGGCTCCCTGAGCTGCAGACGGCTAAGCTGGCTATCTGCCGAGACCGTGCTGGAGGAGGTGGAGATGTTAAGGAGAGCTCTGTTTCAGTTGGCAAGATGCAAACTGGAGACTGGGCAGGGAATCCTGACGTGTTTCTGCAGAGTCAGGGTGTTGCCACACCTCAAAGAAGCTCTACTTGATGCTCTGTGAGCCAGTGGTTGGGGAGAGTCTGATCTGCACATACTTCCGTGGCATGCATTTGGGCTAGAGCTGTTAGCTGCCATCACCAGTTCTTGCATCCTGTGACTTTGGGGAGCTGAGGACAGAGGACGATTATGTCCTGGAAAGCAAAGTCCTCGGTGACCTGGTTTCACGTGCCGTTGTGGAACAGCTCTGCCATCCCCTCCTGGAAAGCTAACATCTCAGTTTCACTGTTTGAGTTGTGTAGATGCTTTGTCTTGGTGAGCTGCCGGTCCTTGTTGCGGTGCCTCTTGTGCCAAAATAAACCCATTGACAGTACGTACTGAGCTGGCCTGACTTGGGTCTTTCCGATCTCTGCAGCTCCTGATCACCAGCATGTTCCGAACGGAGTGTGGGTCCTTGTGGGTCTCCTCAACTTCATTGCCTATACGTTAGGTAAGACTTCAGCTAGTTGATTGTGGGGGTTTGTGTCTGTCATCTGTTCATCCTGCAGCTACGTGTTGTCTTCTCTCCGAGCCCGCTGAGAAATTTTTGATTTTGTGCTTTTGCCATGCCCTAATCCAATTGCTGCTTGGTCTGCTGGAGTGGTTTCTGGGAGCTGCCCTGTGGAGTGGATAGAAGGAAGTTGTCCCAGAGCAGCTGATGTGAAAGGAGGGTGCTGGAACTGACTTTGAGACGAATTGTGAAATTCTGTCTTTGGTCTGCTTTCAATAAATATGATCTTGTCAGACTATTGCATTCTTCAGTCTCAAATAGAGCAGGGGGTGGGAAGCACACTCTCCATTAGAGGATGGAGGTGTGAAAGCTGCTCTTTGCTGGCTGTCTGCGCTTTGTCACCTACAAACTGGCCCACTGCTTTGCGTGGGAGTGTCCAGCAAAACTCCCCATCTCTCCCTCTTCTCTTCCCAGATGGTGTTGATGGGAAACAGGCTCGCCGGACCAACTCCAGCACACCCCTGGGAGAGCTCTTTGATCATGGCCTGGACAGCTGGGCATGCGTGTACTTTGTCGTGACAGTCTACTCCACCTTTGGACGGGGTTCCACGGGTGTCAGTGTCTTCGTTCTCTACCTCCTCTTATGGGTGGTCTTGTTTTCATTCATCCTCTCCCACTGGGAGAAGTATAACACGGGGATTCTCTTCCTGCCCTGGGGATATGACATCAGCCAGGTGGTAAGTACACGCCGCAGCTGCTGCTGGGCTTTGGCAGAAGCTCAATAAACTGCTCGTGTGCCTGGGGTGCAGTAGTGCCCGCCAACGTGTGCGAGGGATGCATGCAGCTCTGCTACGTGTCCAGAGCCTTTGTACGTCGGTCACTGCAATGCTCTCTGGAGGTGGGCGTCTTCAGCCTGTCTGCAGGCATTGAGGAGGAGGAGAGCTTTCCAAGGCTGCTTGCGTGACTTTGGGCTGTAATTGCTTTAATGAGCTGGGGTCATGCGGCAGTAGAGTTCGACTGCTCAAAACCGTTAAATCCAAGGAGGTTTGTGTGGTGCAGTCTTTATTTTGTTTGGAGCAGCTTTTGTAGATGGACTCTCCACAAAAAATGAGGCTTGAAGAATGGATATTCACTGTGAGGGTGGTGAGGCAGTGGCAGAGGTTGCCCAGAGAAGCTGTGGCTGCCCCATCCCTGGAGGTGTTCAAGGCCAGGTTGGATGGGGCTGTGAGCAACCTGGTCTGGTGGGAGGGGTCCCTGCCCGTGGCAGGGGGTTGGAATGAGATGGGCTTTAAGGACCCTTCCAACCAAACCATTCTGTGATTTGATGGTACTGCTTTGCATTTCCTCTGCCTGGTTTCTGCTCTCCTAACATGCATGTTTTGGCCACCTAAATCGTTGCTGTAGTTAGTTAGTTGCATTATACCAGCACATGTAAATTCAAGTCTAGAAGTTTGGGCTGCCTTTTGGCACTAGCAAGATGTGTGCCAAAATGTAGCGGAGTAACCAATTGGCATGTTAATCACTGTGCCTGGAGCAAAGGTCCCTGGGGAGGTGCCCCTCTGTACCCTGGTAAATGGGCAGTCGATGTTGAGACTGATGGTGATGGACTCTGTGGTACGTCGACACGTCCGTCTCTCCCTAAGGACTTCTCTGCAGGAAGCTCTTTCTGAAGAGCCTGACAGAACTGGGAGCAAGCTCTGGACGATACCGTTCCCCTTTACTGCTGGCAGCTGTCCTTCCTCACCAGCCTGCAGTCGCCCGGCACCGTGCAGCACACGCTGCTCCTTTATCTTCTGACTTGTCAGATGCTGGATGGGAAATGCAACAAGCTGGAAGGAGAGTTCAGTTAATGCAGCTGCATTAATTGCAGTAATCATCTCTGCTGGTAAAAGGAGACTGTAGCTGGTCCCCTCTGACTATGCTCTGACCCCTTTCTGCAAAACCATTGTTTAATCCAAATGCTTTCAGATCTCTGCCTGTTGCGGAAAGGCAGGGGGTAGAGGGCTAAGCTACCCTGCAGCGTGCTTCCCCCAGCTTCAGGGTTGCTATTAAAATGGAAATATCCCTTGGTATCTTTTGCACTGCAGTTGCTTCAGCAGATGGATAAGAAAGAGTCCCCCCACAAACCCTGCCAGGTCACTGCAATTTGTAGTATAAAACCTCTCTCTCATGCTTCAAGCGTCTTGTGAGTTCAAGCTGTGCAAGGGCATCTTTGCTTCTGCCTCGAGGGCAGCTCCTGGTCGTATCCTTCTCAGCAGCTCAGCTACTACATTTATTAGACCTGGTCTCGTAACACGGGATGTTTGAGGATTTTTAATTTTTTTTTTAAATTTGTCTCCTTCCTGCCGTTGGGGAGAACTGAATGTGAAGTAGCTTAGAGCCTACTTCTCGAGCTGCCTTTCCCTCCAGCTGCCTGGCATATGCGTCGTGCTGCCGGGTCGGGTGCTGCTGGATTTGCCTGTCCGGTTGCTCACGCCCGCTTGTTCTGTGCTTTCTTTCAGACCATTTCAATTGTCTACATAGTGACAGCCATTGTGGGAGTTGAGGCCTGGTATGCACCTTTCCTGTTTAATTTCTTATATAGAGACCTATTCACTGCAATGATTATTGGTAAGAAACTCCATGTTGAAGCCTGTCTTTTAAACTCCACCTTTTTAATGAAACCCAATGTCTTAATTATATGATGGTGCTGTTCTGTTTGCTGTAATGAAAGCTCCTGTAGGCTGTTATTGAAGTGACTAATTCAGGGTGTTCTTGCAGCCTGCCCTTTCCCAGGATTTCAGAGTATTTTTGTCTTCTGCATAGTTGCTTTGGAGCAGTTAACTCCAATCTGCCTGGGTCTGTGTTGACCAAAAGAGCAAGGAAGCGGGGTGCTGCACTCGTGTCTCAGATAAATTTCATGCCAACCCTGAGGGTATAGGTGCATGCTGCTGCTCAGGGGCTCAGCCCCGGTGCTGCCTACCTGGGGCTAAGGGTTTGTGTGGGCAGACACAAAAAGGTTCCTGGCCTGGAGCAGCATAGTGGGCAGACAAGAGCGGCCGAGGGTTGTGGCTGCTGCTTGGGGACCGGGGTGCTGGAGCTGAGCACCGACCCCTGGGTGCCAAACAGGAGACTCCCTCCTGCCGAGGACCCGCAAGTACGTGAAAATACGTCTCCTCTGAGTAGCTGCGTTGCCCGAGTGCTGGGGCCGTGGGGCATTGCATTGCCCCGGGGAAGCCCAGTTTGTTTTCACGAGAGCTGTGGGGTTTTTAGGGGGTAAAACACGGCCCCGTATGGAGGTGGGTGCTGGGAGCCAGTGGCCAGCGAGGACCCCTCGGTGCTGGGGCTCTTTGCTGAATGTGCTGGGTTTGCTCCTTGGGGCTCCGTCTTGCCCCGTGGCACGGCCGGGGCAGGACCCGGAGCCCAAGTGCTGCCTGGGGCTGCTGCAGGAGGGAGTTTACAGCCACGCAGGTGCGGTAAAGCACTCTGCTGCTTGGGGATCCTGCCCTCCATCCACCCACCTGAAAATTAAAAAAAAAAATATATAAAAAATTTAAATAAAAGCCCAACCTTTCTCTCCAGTGGTCAGTCAGAACAAGCCGCTGCAAAGGAGGGAGCAATGCAGGTGAAGCTTAGCTGGGGAGAGCTGTCTTTGCTTAATGAAATTTGACTTATTCAGAAGTTCTTTTTTAGTTCAGTTTTCCTTATTCTATGTCCCTTTCTTTAGGGGTTAATTGTAGCTACTTAATTTCAAGTCAGTGTGTCTTGAATTGTGTTAAATCTATGCTTGCACTTTTCTTAATCAGGTGGATATTCTGAGCTTTCCTTTGGCAGTCGTATAACTTAACATATGAATAATAAATGCAGTTTTCCTATATGAAAAATAGAGCACAATGCCTGCATTGGCTGGGTTTGTGCTCTTGGACAGGAGTTGGGTTGTTAAAAGCAGGAATATTTACAGCTCTGTTAAAGTACCTACTGCTAGATAAACACAGAAGGAGTTGTGATAGACTGTCACGGGTCTGAGTGTAGCGGATGATGTGCCCTGTTGGGGTCTAGAATTTCAAAATTACTTAGACTTTTGTATCATTTGTCAAGTTAAATGACAAGAATTTTTTTGCACAATGGGAACTGAAAGTGCTTCCTCACAGCGGGAGAAATAGCAAATTGGCTTTGTTACGAAAGCTGGAAACTCTGTTGTGCACAGCCACCTCACTTGTGGAGTTTGAACTCACCTCATGTCTCATTAAAGACAGTATTGTAATTAAACTTTGTAACTGTTTAAAGCATAATACTGGGCTCCTTAATGCAACTTCTAAAATGTGAAGTATCTTTAATTTACAGCAGACTTTAACTTGTAATTACAGCTCTCAAACCAGAATTACGAACACCTACTTTTAAACGTGCCGAGCTATTCTTGGTGCACCTCTGAGCTATTTTTGTTGCAAGCAACTTAAACCAGAGCACAAGCACCTGCCCGTGCGTGGGGTGCATGTGATGGTCTCCCTCTGTCATGGGGCAATAACGCGGCTCTTTCTCTTCCAGCTTGTGCGCTCACTGTGACGCTGCCAATGAGCCTCTATAACTTCTACAAGTAAGTTTCTCTGTCCTCAGGTCTCCTTCCCTCCACTAGCACCTTTGCAAGAGCCCCCAAAGCCTCTTAGAACTTGGTTTCCTTAGTAGTTTTCAGACAACTGTTTCCAGTGTGGCCAAGTGGCTCTGACACACCAGAAGGTCCCAGTTTGCCGGGTGGTCTGGGAGGAGTGGGCTGGCAGCCTGCTCAGCAGGGTCTTGCAGGAGGGCCCCCAGCTTTTGTAGTCTTGTCCTGTTGGTCACAGCCCAGAGAGCCAGCCAGCCAGGTGCTTCTGTAATGCAGGAGTTTTTTGGGTTAACAGTGAAGGTGTGCATCTTCCTTGTCTGACCATGGTTATCACTGGTACCAGCAGTTTGGAATAGCAGAATGGCCGATGAGATTCTGCAGCCCTCTGCTGAAGGCAGGGACCAGGTATTTCTCAGCTGTGGTTCCATGTATTTTCATTTCTTTGCTTGCGTTTCAGGGCCTATAAAAATAACACCTTGAAGCACCACTCTGTGTATGAAATCATGCTGCCACTGGTATCCCCAGTGTTGCTGTTCCTGCTCTGCACCACGTGGATCTTCGTGTCCCCGACAGACATCCTGGAAGTCCATCCCAGGCTCTTCTATTTCATGGTGGGAACAGCCTTCGCTAACATTTCTGTAAGCAGCTTTTGCTTTCTGCTCCACTTTCTCTCCTGGGGAGTGTGAAGCCTGCCAGGACACTTGGGAGGCAGGAAGAAAAAGACCAGCTCAAATGTGAGGAGAGAAGGGAGATGCGAACATTAACTTCACCGCTTTTCTATTTTACTGTGATTGAAAGAACAAACAGGAAAGTAGACAGGGTTTAGGGTTTGCAAATTTTGTGCTGCAGCTCTCACTCTTGAGAAACTACAGAATTAGTTCAATTGCGTGGGTTTACACTGTCATGCACCCTCTGTGTTGTGAATAGCAAACTGCTAATACGAGAGGAGTTCCTGCGTCCTTTTTTGGGATAAACCTAAAATGTGGGGGACTAAAGCTTTTGTCAAAATCGGATTTAGCTGCATATTGCATCTGTGCTTGCTTGAGACCTTAACGAAAGCACCTCTGCTTGCCGCCTCAGATGTGTGACTGAGCAGCTCTGGGTGTCCATGCCCTGGGTCCAGCCGCTCACGCTGCTGCTTGGCAGGATTTTCTGCTGATCGTGCAGATAACACTGTTAAGGCTCGGTCAGCTCAAGGGAACTCTGTTTTCTTTTAAAGACGCCCTTGATGCCTGTTTCCCTATTACCTTCCTGCCCCACGAGGCTTTGCCTTTCCCCACGAGGAATTTTAGTGCAAAGAAAGATCCTGAGTGAGAAAGTCGAGGAGACTGCGTGACGGTAGTTGTGCATGCAGATGATCGGCACACGTACATGTGTGACCATCCTGTCTGCGCTGCGGGCAGCTCTGGGCTTGCAGAGTCAATACTGGACGCAAGCTCTGACAGCTTTCTCTTCCTGCAGTGCCAACTGATCGTCTGTCAGATGAGCAGCACACGCTGTCGGCCTCTGAACTGGATGCTGCTCCCCATAGCAGCGGTGCTCTTCGTGGTGATGTCCGGGTTCGCACCGAAGAGCGAAACGCTTCTCCTCTACTTGTTAACTGCTTTCCTCACCCTTGCACACATCCACTACGGAGTGGTCGTGGTAGGTGAACTCGGCATGTGGGCTTCGGGCTTGGCTGCCGTGCTCTGGCTGCAGGCTTGCTTTGGGTGCTGCTGCTGTCTTGGGCAGAGAATACTCTGCTTAAAAATGGGAATGTCGGTGGGAACAGCTCTGTGTCCTGCTGTCTGTGACCACACGGAACTTGAGCTGACTTCCTTGCAAGAGGCTTGTGCGGGCTGTTGTGCGAGTTTGAAGCAAGCTTCACACGATGTGATGAGGGGCTGTTGTACCAGAGATTAGTTTGAAACAAGTGCTTGCATCTCCGCTGCCGTGTTTAACTCATCCTGGCTGCAGCTACAGCTTAGTGACCAGCTTAGATGTAAGCCAGCATGGGTGACCCGCACCCTTGGGCAGTGGGAAGGGCAGCTCACGCATCGGGCAGGAGTGCTTAGTAGAAGTGCTGGGAGGCTTAGTAGAAAAAGTTAAACTGCTGTTGGTGTTACTTTGGTTGATGAGTTCAATCTGCAGCCTCACTGTGTGGAGTCACTGGGAGAGCAGGGATGGAAGGGGCTTATCCCTGCCAGGGAAAATGGGGATGCTGCAGCTGCGATGCCTTCTCCCCAGCTGCAAGGGCTGTGTAGAGATCCAGGGACCAGTTTGCTCCCCTTGCTCTGTGCCAGCTCTGCCTGACTCACTGAGTTTTGATTAAGAGGGAAAACAAACTCGGATGAGACCGAGTCCCATTAGAGATGCCCCAGGAAGCTCCTGAGGGACAAGAGCATGGGACCCCATGTCCCCTGCGGAGCTGACTGCTGTACCCTCCTTGGGAAGCCCTGTCCCCTGGGAACCCCAGCTTTAATGTGGAGCCCCCAGGGCCGAGTCGGAACTGTAACTACAGCAAAGAAGTAATAGCCAGGTTGTCTTGTCTTTCCAATTAGTGTAATGAGGCTTCTATGCAAGAAGGATTTGAATAGCTAAGAAGCTTAAATAAATTTGGTCTTGGAATCATAGCTGGAGATGGGGACTGACCGGATGGTGTAATCCTCCTGCCCAGGCTTGCCCATCCCCTGCAGTGAGCTTCTCGGTGCTCTGCTCCCCTCAGCTTGTGTTCCCCTCGTTCCCCACCTCCAGCTTTCCAAGGGCCCATCTGTGCAGTCTCCTCTTCCAGGATTAAAGAAACTTTGAGCTGAAGAGCCTTTTAAGGCTCTGTGAGTGGGACATAATCCCAAACCGCTCTGAATTTGGGAGTCATGATTAGGAATAAACCCTCTGCCCTGACTCTGTGCCCAGCTCAGCCTCTGGTGCTGCTCAGCCCTGCTCACTCTTGGTTCTGCAGCGACGGTTACCTTGTGGTCACTGGATGCTGGTGCCACCCCATCCGTTTTATCCTCCTCTCTGCAGTCTCCGAACCATGCCTGAGAGCTCGTTTCCTGGTGCAGCTCTCAGTCCTCTGTGGTTTTCTCATGTCCTCAAAACGTGGTGAAAGCTTCTTGCAAAGGCGGGTGTAGAAGGAGCCTGATTATCCAAAACCTGGTGGTGGGTTCCCCTCCTCACTGTAACCCTCCTATGTTTGTCGTCATGGTCAATGCAAAGTACCTGACCCCCAGTTTGAATCAGGGAGTGATTTTTTTCATATGGATACCTGAGATGATCAAATTAATTTAAGCAAAATAATAAAAATATTGCTGGGAGAGGCAGAGAGGTGAAATCCTGCATGCCTGGACTCGGGGCAGGAACGGAGGTGAGCCCACTCCCGGATAGACCAGGGTGTTACTTGGGAAGGGAGCAGGGCTGCACCTTGCGGGACCACGCGTCCGACCGACCCCAGCGTCGGGCTACCAGGGACAGGGCTTGGCTCCTGGGCACGGCAGCCTGGCTGGCCCCGTAGCACAAGACGGAGGCTGTGGTCCAGATCGGCTGCACCCATGGGGAGCGTGTAGGGTGGGCAGTGTGGGGGAAAGCGGGTGCATGAAGGCAGCAGAGGCTTTGTCGGCTGTACAGGGAAGCGGTCTGGTGCTCTGCCTGCTTTCCTCCTCGTCTCTCCGAGCCTCGCTAACCTGTCTGCCTTGTCCCCAGGTGAGCCAGCTGAGCAGGCACTTCAATATACGGCCCTTCTCGCTAAAGAAGCCCACGCCAGATTGACTAGGAGTGGAGGAAGAGAAAATCAGCTTGCAGTCTGCAGAAGTACTGTAAATAACTGCTGCAAATACCTGTAAATACTTCAACCATCGCCACAGATCTAAACCTATCCTCTGGACAGACATCAGGGCAACGTACGCACGGTATCCAGTGCAGCCAGGGCAGGACTGGTACGGGGCAGCCCCCGCTGCTGTTCAATGAATGCAAACTTTTGGTTTTGGGTGAAAACTGGATGAGGAGGGTAGCCTTTCAGGTCACTATTACTGTATATTAGACCAGCTGAATGTTCCCAGTCAAACCTCAAACTCCAGCTCTTGCTCAGGTAAAGCTGGTTGGGGATGCAAATGGCTTTACTTGAGCAAAGCGTCGTAACCTGTCACCAAAACCAACATAACAGCTGACTTCTACAAGGTGAGGGGAACATCCTGGTGGTCGGGGGAGTTCCTGTCTGTCCCTAATTCTGCTAGACAGCCCTTGTCCTCAGCTGGTACTTAGGGAGCAGATGGTGGCAGTTCTCCCACATTCTGTCCTGCATTCCTACATTCACCTATTTGGGCAAATACTTGCACCTTTTTTTTTTTTTTTAAGAGGGGAAAAAAGAGCAACACACAAAGCTTCTAGTAATATCCTACTTGTGGGGGACGGGGGTTAGAAAACCAGGGCTCAATTTCCTGTGAAAGTGGGAAGGTGGCTTCTGCCTCCCCTGCTCGAGCTGTGGGTACCTGGGACCACATCTCGACCGTGTTCCTGTCTGTCCGTGTGCGTTCCCTGCCTGGGAGTGGGGTCTGGGCTCCGGTCGGCAGCAGAAGGTGGCTTAGACCAGCCTGTCTAACACAGAGCCAAACTCCCTCCTCTTCCTAGCTTCTGTCTTCTTCCCCTCTTCTTCCCTTGAACTTGCTGTTCCAGGTCGGCTCTGCTGGGTCATTGCGTGCTGCCTGAGCCTCTTCTTTCGTAGCAGCGCAGCCAGGCTCAGTTTGCGCATCGCCCTTCCCACCAGACCATCGACGGCAGCAAATCCACCGCGTAGAGAAGCACCTTAATAAGTGTTGTGTTGGTTGTGTGTGCACTTTCAGAAAGCTCACAGGCATGTGTGTGGTGGGGTCCTTTCCAAATATCACTTTATTTTCAAAACCGTTGTCCCCAGCGGCTCCATGTCTCATCCAGGGATGTATTTGTTTACTGTCCATTTGTAAAAGACATGTTTGCATTGATTTTTTTTTTTAAATTTGTTTTTGTAATTGAGTTAGAGTGGGGTGGTGAAGACTGAATGCTGATTTTCTTTTCTGTTCACTTTATTTAATGAAGACCTGTGCTTGAATGAAGAGTGTAGCTTAAACCCAGGCTCTGGAAAGGCTGCATCCGGAAGCGAACAAGCACAGCAGGTTGTGCATATGTAATCTACCATGGGAACAAAGTCACTTATACACTGATTATTGTGCAACGTGGTTTGTAGAAGCTTGGTCATGGCATTTTCCTTCTGCAGGTGGAGACTCCTCCTGCTTTAGGAAACCTTCAAACTGTAACTACTATTTAATGCTTTTTTCTTTTGTAAATTTGAAACATTGTCATGCAGACTATGAGACTTGAAATCCTGAGGCCAGGTCACGACGCGTTCAGTGCGCACAGGGTGCGACGTCTTGGTTGCTCGGTCACGGTACGGCCTGCGAGGAGCGAGCCGGTGCGTTCATCTGGGCTGACGTGGTGGGGGGGCTCGGCCGAACGGCTGTATGCTCACGTGTCTGTACGGGTGCGAGCTGTCTGGGAGGGGTGGCTAATCTGGGAGAGAGGGCAAATGGTTTTCAGAGTTTATTTAATAAAGTAGCTTACTCCTATATATTTTACTGACGTTGTACAGAAAAAAAAAAATAAGTGTACAAATGAGTTGGGCTGTGCTTGAATTTTTGACTCTTGCTATTTAATGAAATACAGTTATGAAGGGAGATAAATTTAAGTCATGCTCGCACAAGAATTACAGGGAATCTTAAAATGGGGCACAACACTTACCTGTGGGATGTGTTCAGGTAGTAAAGTTGTGCTAGCAGCATTGACAAAAAGTAGAGGTTGGATGATTTACCTTCTGGTTATGTGTTTGCAGGACCAGGGACTAACTGAGCTCTTCCCTCAGGCTTTCAGCTGAGCTCTGGGATCCCGAGCCCAGAGCTTGCGTTGTCCTATCTCTTCCCACTAGCACTGCTGGGCCCTGAGGACTGGGCCACTGCTAATGCTGTGAGAAGTTGTCTGATCTTAAATCTTAGGATGTCACTTTGTCTCTGTAAAATGCTGTTTGTCTGGTGTGTCACCTAGCTGTGAGCTGGTGCGCTTTTGCAGCATGTAATATACCCTGAAAAACCCCTTTGTGACGGTAACAAACCTGTGGAAGCAGGGCTTCCTCGCAAATCCGGCAAGTACTTGTGCTGTAGGAGAAACATCTCTCAAAAACTGGAACCAATTCCTATCTGCACAGGCTTTATCTTTGGAGAGTCCTGGATTTTTGGTGCCTTAATTTATTGCACCTTGAAGCTAGAAAAATACCTGCTTTAAATCAGTGCTGGAAAACAGGCTCGCTTGTCTCTAGTGCTGCCAGGCTCGTGGCAGAGCGAGGAGGGAGCAGACCCGATCTCAGTGCACGTCTGACTGTTCCCGGCCGGTGCTGCTGCAAAGCTGGGGAGGGGGTTTGTTGGGGCTGTTGGGAGTTAAGTGAGTTCTGCTCCCAGATTCTGGGAAGGGAAACCAAACAGAAAGACCAAACCATCGTGCCATGGTGGGATGTGGCATGCTGAGAGATAAACTCTTTGTTAATAATAATGGTTTTACATCTTAAGAATAAATGTGTTCCTCACTAACAGCACCTGAGGGTAGTGGTGGTGGTTGCTTGCCTTGCTGGCTCGGGCTGTGCTCTGTGGGATGGGACGGGGTTGTGTGCTCGCTCCTCAGCTCCTCCTGCCCGATATTTGAGAGCTGATCTGTGTTGTCTCTTCTTCCAGGGATAGCGTAAGTCATATTTTAATTACTGGTGGACCTGCTGAGTTGATAACAGGACTATCTTATGATTTCTTAAACCTGTTTTGCACATTTTATCTCAATACAGAGTATTACCAGGAAAAAACCTGTTCAGGGAGGGGTGTAGACCTTCAAGACCCGCTGGGATCTCAATCTCCTGGCCTCAGGCTCCAGGCAGGTCCTTGGGCTGTGGGAAGAGGTGGCCGGTGCTGCCAGCTCCTCCTGGTCCTCGCCACGCTGCAGCTGGTCAGTTTTTGCTCTGAATCAGATTTTTGTGGGAGCCTGGGATGCGCCATGTGTCGACACGGGACTTGTGTAGCCGAGATGGAGGGGCAGCCTTGCTTGTAGCCTTTTTCATCTCGGTCTTGTGGATCGTGTCACAGCTCCTGCCTCTGCGCCGATCCAGAGACCTAGTGCAGGAATTCACAAGTGGACCCAGGGCTGAGGGCGAAAGTGCAGGTTTTGGGACCTCCTGCGGCTTGGGCAATACTGGCCAAGTATTAAAAGCACTGAAAGCAACGGTTTACAAGTACAAATGCTGCGGCTGACCTGTGGGCCTACAAGCGAGCACCTACGTGCTGTGGCTTT